AGTGTGTTGAAGCTGAGGCCCTGCTGATCATCTGGATGCCCTGAGCACAAATGCTTTATGCTAACCCCCCCCCCCAACATGGGACAATTACAAAACTGGACAAATGTTTGTAGTATGGCAGTCATGTGATTTTGATTATGTAAATTAAAAAGAACAAGAGATTTTACAGGGGATTAAGGTGAGGAAACAAAACAGTAGAATGAAGGAAATGCAACAATTGGCAATGTAATCAGTAACTACGACTGATCACATAATGTGCTGTTAGAATATGATTAATGTTTATCCTGTTTTCACATCTTCTTCTTGTTCTATTTAACCCCCCAGAACCTTGTTGCAAAGTGTTTGTTTTTAACTTTCTGGTTACGAAGTCCTTTTCTATTCACCAACTCATCCTTCATTCTCCTCTTTTGTTTCCTGCATCCTGCTCTTAATCCATATTTCTAACATATGTGTGGCATATTAAACAGACCAGTGGGAGGTGGTGGAGGAGGCACCGCAGGATAGACTGGAAACAGGTCCACCTACTTCTTGAAGACATTTTCTGGTGAACACTAACTGTTTTCCCCACTTCAATGACAAACTTTACTCACAATGCACTATGGTACCCAGAATTTTAAGTCAAATTTCTTTTAATTTTTGTATGCAAAGTTACACTGGTGCTATAAAACTTAGCCCCATGCCTCTCAAAAGCCTGGGACTTTTGAAGACCCTGGACCTTGTTCAAAAAGTTGACCTGTTCATTGAAAAGCGGATGTTTCGTCAGCCTATTCTAGCATGAGCTACTGCTAGTGTTGCTGCTGTTCTTTTGGTTTTCAACATGCACAAACTTCACCTGACTAGCAACAATCTTCCTATTAAAAATAATAGATAAAGATATTACTGTTATTTTCTCTCTGCTTGAAAATGGTAGTCACATTGTTTAGCAGTATAACCAGATGCATTAGTATCTGAATACAATTATTATGGCTTTCTATTGAAAGGTTGAACTCATACTCTAAATAGAACATATTTTGATTTGCTTTTCTGGTTCTTTTTAGGTTTTGAGTATGAAAGTATTTTAAATGGTTGGTTTGTTTGGTCCTCCTCTATGCACTAAGCTGTTTTAAGTCCATGCCCCTTCACTAGATCTTTTTTAATTAATGTCCCTAAGTGTTAACAGTGGTCAGATCTTGGTCCAATGGGATTCACTGTGTGGTGCTTTTAAACTATTGGCCTTTCAGGCACCAGCTGGACATCTGCGTCCCATCAGATAAAGGGAGGGGGGAGAGTAAAAAGGGACCAAAAAAGGACAACAGATGGAGCAAAACAAGGGCTTTAGCACAGGACAAGACAATAATGGGAACAAAAGATAAAGATAATTTGTATTTTTACGTCTCTTTTTTATTAGGACAAATGTTTTTCAATCAGAGGAAAAGAGAAAGCAAGGAAACTTTTTGCAAGAGCAAAAACGTATGCCTTTAAGATGTCTGAAACTCATTAAACTGCTTGGTTTACATATTTAAAAAATCCATTAAAATTGCATTACCAGGCAAACTCTTTCAACCTAATTTGAAAGTGTGGTTATCGTAATGATCACAGGATCTCCCTACACTTTTACCTTTTTTTCTTGAATATTAAAACATATTGAACAATGCACAAAAAAAAGGAATCTTTTATCACATTATCCTGACGTATGTGAGGCAAAAAAAAAGATTTAAAACACTGAACACTTTCTTGCAATAATCGCTTATTTTGTTTAAAGTTAAAACCCAATTCTTCAATAAAAAAGTATGGTGATAAAATGCTGTCACCTTTCCCACTAAGACTAATGCTACAATGTTAAAAATTGTGAATACTGATGACCAACACCATTTGTTTCCTGTATTGGGGGTCAGGGGTCAGAATTAGTGACAGGCTGTCCAAATGGGGACTTTCTCATCGACAATGTAAACAGAACACAATAGTGTTGTGTCGGTCAGACTGTCACCAATGTTAGCATAGTAGAAGCAGTGTTGGAGCGCACAACAGTTTAGTCATTTCCTTCTGACCTCTGGTGGCTCAGGGCCAACAGGTGGATCCTTCCAGACAGAACCTTATTCCTGTTTGTGTGAGTGTTTGATAAGAGGGATAATAATAGTTCAGTCTCCCAGTGGATGCAAAAACTACCAGGAACAACTGATGTCACTACAGCAAAACCTCAAAGGTACTGCTTGTTTGTGTTTGCGCCGCTATAAAAAGAAAAGAACCACAACATCAAGATGCTTTGCACAAGCGGAAGGAAAGGCATATAAGGATAAGAAAGGGCAGAGGAGGCATAAGTAGGAAGTTTAGCTTGACCCAATCCCAAACATATGCCAGGAATAACTTTTTAGGAAGATTGGTTGTGACTACAAACTTATGTATATTATAGAGTTTATATCTGGTGTATTATATATGGTTTGTTCCTGTTTGGCTGGGACACCATCCAAGAGAGAAATATCAGCTGTGCTGCTCCCATCAACACCTTTGTTTGAAGATGTTTGAGCTCAACCTGTTTTTCAGTGTAGTCGTTTTTCTGTGGCTGTGTCTGGCTGGATGTGCTCTCTTCATCCTCTGATGTGGGGGCTGGCTCGGAGCTCGTCTGCCTGGTTGTGTGTTTCCTGTGGAGCTGGTTGACAGTTGCCTTTTGTATCTCTGCGTCTCTCTGTTTGTCTGCTTCTGTCTTCTTGAACCCCGGTCGACCTCGGCAGATGGCTGCTCACACTGAGCCTGGTTCTGCTGGAGGTTTCTTCCTGTCAAAAGGGAGTTTTTCCTCTCCACTGTCACTGCAAGCATGCTTGGTGTGAGGGAGTCGATGCAATCAGCTGGTTTTCCTTAGATAGAAAACTTCAATCATCAATTTGACTGTATGGCCTGGTTGAATTGAAAGTGCCTTGAGATGGGATGTGTTGTGAATTGGCGCTATATATTTATAAATAAACTGAATTGAATTATTAAGATAGTAAGTACAAAGTGGGAAACAAAAGAAAAGAAAGACATAATGAATTAAAGAAGATTTAGGTTCTAGGAACTCTGGTTATTTAACAAAATAAAGTATTTTTTCCTGGATACACAATAATATGTGTAGTTAAAAACCAATTGCAAATTGCAGTGAAAACACAATTACCAGTATGAAGCACAGTGGTGGCAGCACCATACTGTGGGGTAAATGTTTAGCAGGCATAGAGAAACACTTCATAGGAGGATCTATTTAGCTTTGTTCAGGGCAATGCTTTAAGACTTGTTAGCGGCTGCAAAAGGCTCGAGATTGAGGTAGAGGTTAAACTTTCAACAGAAAAAATATATACATAAATCTGACTAAGATTTGGTGGGAAGTTTAAAATTGTTTGTTATGGTCATCTATAGTCATATAGAATTAAATCTCACTCTAGATGAGAAAAACTTATAAACACAACGAAAAAAATGCATGCTTCTCTAATGTCGCACAAAATTGTTTCTACGAAGTGTTTATCTAGAGGAACAACATAAACCCATAAATAAACACATCACCCGTATCCTAGCTTATCATAACTGGCTCCTGTCCAGTGACTGTAGGAGATAGGCACGACTCCCATGGCTCTGGCATAGATAAGCAGGTATGGATGATGGACAGACATATAGTTTTAATAGATAATCATGCCTCACTTTTAATTGGCCTGTAACATAAAACTTCCATACCAAACATTTGATTTTGTAATTGTAGTCAGAAAAAAGTGTTAAAAACTGGAGAGATTTGAATACATTCTCAAGACACTGTATGTACATTGTTCTCATGGAAAGGAAAGTGTCAGGCTGGAATGTTCAGGAATTTTTGGATTTGGCTTTGTGGATAGGCCATGTCACTGGAAGAGCCCCCACCACTCTCAAAATTCAATGGGAACGTTGGGTATGAGCCAAGCAGGCGGCACCTTTAAAGCCTTTTTCCCTCCTGCTCACACACAATTATTCAATCGCTGTATTGTCCTGGAAGCTGGACGAGTTTTCTAAAGAAAGAGAGGAACCCATTATGTGGAAGAGTAGATTAGATTCAGTTATGGTATATTTATTTATTTCCTTCAGAGAATAATATGATCAACACTTTTTCTGTACTCTTTGAAATTTCCATGATTCAAGGTGGGAAAAAAAGAAAAAGGTTTTTTGGTGTCAGTGTGTTTGTTCGGATTCCGTTGTTTTTGTTTTAGGTCTTGATTAGCTCTGATCACATTGTTTATAAAGTGTATGGTTCCTCCCCAAAACAAGAGCATTAAATGTCTGCATCTATTAAATCTGAATAGAGCTTGATTGTTGTTTTGTTTTTCATTTTGGCTTTGATCAGAACAGCAATTTCAGTAATACAGCTTCCTCTTAGACTGTTGTAATTGGCCAACGCAGTCTCCCAAACAGGAAGTCTAATTGCTGCTGCTGTTTACATGCTTTGCTACCCTCACTGGTGTGGTTTTAAAGGGTAAATCAAAAAAGGACAGGGTGTAAAATTAGCCCCTATGTAAAATGAACACACACGTATGACCTTGGCTGCAGACTTCCTGTGTCTGGGATTTAGCTGGGCTAACATAAACAGCTTTTAATGACAGTCACCCATTGCCAAATGCCTACCTGGAACCATAAATCTGTGTGGCCGTTAGCTTATGCTTAAAACCAGACAGTTAGGCATGAAAGCAAAGATTAGAAAAGTCTGCAACTCTCAACAAGAGTGGCAGAATTTTACCTAATTAGATTTTATTTAGGAAAGGTCAGAGTAAGGTGGCTGATTTGCGATTGTAAATATCTAGAAAACAATCATTATCCTTTTCTTTCAGTTTAAAAAATATGCCAGCCTTTGTTTTTGTCTATCACATAAACCTAAAAAAAAAAAGCAGGTTTGAAATCTGTGGCTGTAACGTGAAAAAATGAATACTTTTGCAAGCCACTATAATTGGCCAGAAGATTTGTTGAAAAGATTCAATACAATTTCATGATTGATTACTTTATCTGAAAATCTCTGTATCATTTCCTGCATCCCTCAGCAGCCATCGACTGTGTGGTTGGATCTTGGGGTCCCTGGTCTTCATGTTCCTCTCCGTGTGGAGTTGGCAGCAAGGAGAGGACTCGTTTAGTGTCTGTTCCTCCGAGAAATGGGGGCACACCGTGTCCAGATCTCAGACAGAGACGAGGATGCTTTGGAAACAACGTGATATGTGACAACGCCAAAGGTACATGCCTGACTTCTTCTGACTGCTTCTGATCTATAATTCTCTGATAGAATTGCTAGTACAGGTTCTTTATAAGTTGGGTTTTAACTGTTCTCTGGAAGCGTTCTTGATAGGAAACTAACTATAAACAACATATTTCCACACGTATTGTGAAATCCCTGATCCAGCTGGACTACTTCAACACCCCAGTTACAGTCTTCACTGTTTAGAGGGTTTTCCTGGCTGTAAAGCACCATAAAACATTTTTCCTTTGAAAACTGAGTGAAAGTTAGTTTATAGTTTATTTAACTTTGACTTATTTTCATAGTTTGACCAATACAATGAGCAGCTAAGGGTTAGGAGTATTTACAAAAAAGAAATCCCCTGGTGAGATCACCAGGGGATATATACCAACATTACCACTCTTAGCAGACATTTTAACAACTTATACCAAACTTTCTAAAGTTGATCAGCATGTCCCAGAGGTTGGTATTAGCAATGTACTTCTTCCTGTTTTTGTGGTTTAAACATTTACGGGACACAGATTATTTTCTCTTATCCTGTTTTTTAAAACAGGAAAGAACATTTGCTCAAGGCCGATATATGTTGATCTTTGCAAATGATGAAATGGCAAACTGCTGATTAAGGGACATGGCCAATGAAGCCTTCCACAACTTTCAGTGCACGTTTATGCTACATAAGCGTTTAATGCAGGGCAAATTTAGTTTATATATACAGCACAATTCCGGACAAAGACAATTCAAAGTGCTTTAAACGAATTAAACAATTAAAAGGATACAAAGTAAATGCAGAATAAATGCAAATACAGATAAAAACATAATAAAAGCAGTTTGTAAAGAATGTAAAACTGTTGGACTACAAACTTGGCTGGGGTTTTTAACCTTGACTTAAAGGAACTTAGGCTTTCAGCACTTTTACAGTCTTCTGGAAGTTTGTTCCAGATAAGTGGGTCATAGGAACTAAATACTGCTTCTCCATGTTTGGTTCTAGTTCTGGGTGGACAGAGTAGGCTTGAACTAGAAGACCTGAGTGGTTTTGGAGATTGATGAACTGACAACAGATCTGTTATTTACTTAGATTTAACTTAATTTACATCTTTTCTCATGTTGCCAATATTTTTGAGGATGTATTTGACCTTTGATCTTTTTTTCTTGTTTGCATCTTTACCACCAAATTTTAGAGGTAGCAAAGATCCTGCCTGATTCTTTCAAGAGGACCTTTAAGGACCCTTGGAGGAGACCACACATGCGGATGAAGGAGGAGAAGAACGGGTATGGACTTTTATATCACATACGTACATTCCACTGAGTGCTCTTATTTTGTACTGATTTTGCAGAGTGATATGATTATAGCAATCAATCAAAAGTGAAGACATTGTGTTTCTTGTTTGGTTTTCATTTAACTGTGTTTTGATTAGAAAGTGTTGAAATTAAAGCGTTATTGAGCTCCTCCCTGTGGAGAAATGCAATCATGCAGAATTGGTACAGCTGTCCCGGGAGGTTTGTTTGAAAATGTTGGCTGGTTTTAAATGAAAAAAAAAAAGTTAAATAACACTGGAAATCACATTGTGCAGATTAAAATGTAATAGATCTAAACAACTGAGCTGGCTGCTTGCCTTTAATATAAAAAAGGTTAAACAACTGCAGGACTATATCTTTGGGGACTGAGGGACTGTGTGTCCTGGCCTGTGAGTGCCTCAGGCTTTCTGCAGAGATTGAAGTCTGGGAGCCTCTACTCAGACTGCCGCCCCCGCGACCCAGTCCCAGATGAAGTGTGTGTGTGTGTGTGTGTGTGTGTGGGGGGGGGGGCTGATTCAAATGATAACCTTTCTGATGTCACTACCTAATCATGTTTTAAAGCAGCATTCAAGAAAAATCCTCCTTTGTTTTCATGTGGATGCATTTAGTTTGACCAGCACTATGCATTGCTGCATGAGGGTCCTGGGTATTTTTGGCAAAAGTTTTCAGGTTCTTACTATGAATGTGTGGGCTCCTCTTTGTAGAAACTTACAGTTCAAATCATAATTTTTAGGTTTATTATTCGTTTTTTTAAGGTGTCTTTAGTTATGATTGAGTGAAGGCAGGGTTGTCTGTCCTTTGATGGAAAAGTGACCATTCCAGGATATATCCTGCATTTTACCCAGTTGCTATTAGAAAAACGCCCTAGCTCCTTTGTAACCTTCAGACATTGAAGTCCACCAATGGATGCAATCATTTAGTTGGAATTTGCCAATCAGAACCTGTTCCAATGCAGCATGATACAAAAATGACCTGTTTTAAGAAGTTACCATTTTTAATGAAGTGCTGGACGGTATCTAATTTGAAAAAAACAACAAAACAAAACACATTCCTTAAGGTTGCAAGATTTTATCTTTGGTTTTTAATCAGTTTTGACGTAAGTTTTAAGGTCACACTAAAATCAGCTTTGCACGAAGATTAGAGTGAACGGCACAAGGCCAATGTTTCTTTTTGCTTTGGCTGTGTAACATGTACTCCAGCCCTGAATATTTGTCATCATGCGCTGACCTCTACGGATAAAGCATCTTTGGTCCATATTCATAGAAAAAACTCACGGCACTAATGTCAACTTTGATCAAAGCTGAGTGTACCTTTTTTTTTACATGTAAAAATATATGAAAAGGAAATAAAATCAGGATTCCTTTTCTGTCTACTGAGAACCATTTATTTAATTAAACTCGACATGAGATCCCTTTGTTTTAACTGAAATTATCTTTGAGTCCTCTGGACTTAATCTAAGCAGATATTGCTTCACAGACATCTGGTGTATTGGCGGGGTTGTCATGGTTACTGTCTCAAGAGACATTGAACTCATGTGTATGCCCCAAAGTTTCTTAAAACTGTGGTTTGATTCATTGCATTAATATGTTAGTTGTTGTCATTAAACAACTAACAAATTAGTGAGGGGAGTCGCAGCCTAGTGCATAGGGCATAGAGTTTGGAATCCTCTCGAGCCCCACTTCCTTAACCCTACACTGCTCCCTGGGTGCCCCACGATGGCAGCCCACTGCTCCCAGACCGGGATGGGTTAAATGCAGAGGTAAATTTCTCCAATGTAAGATCAGTAAAGTTCAGTTATATTATTAACAGGTGGTCATAGCTACTGATAAATGTTGTAGCAGGTTTTACATAATTAAGGAGATAAATTAATGCATGAATACAAACTACGCTGTTCACTTTGAATTAGATACAATAGACAGTTGGATTATAATGGGAATACATTGGCCTCCAAAAGTGTTTTACATCTTGACTATTTGTCAGATTGCCATGACAAAACTTGGTTTATTTAATCAGGATTTTAAGTTATCTAAAGTGATAAAGGCCTGGACCTTTACAGCGCCTTTCTAGTAAGTACAAAATCATCCTCACAGCATATTGCTGCCTCCATGTCTGAGTGGAAAAGGTGTGTCTCAGTTTACATTAATATTTATATAGATAAATTTTTGTAGCAAGTAATAGACCTGCTTTTTATTAAGCCCACATTTCTGAATGTATCATGTTTTTTTATTTTTCTATTCATGGGCTCCCAACAATTAGGGAAACTTTTTTTTTGAGCTTTAGGCAAACAATTATTGTATTTTGCAGAATTAAGTCTTCAAAAACATTCCATTGTGTTTCATTTTTCTATTATGTGTTTTTTTAGCGCATTGCTTGATTGAAATAAGTAAACTTTTCAATGATATTCTAATTCTTAAAATATTGATTAGATTAAAGAAGTCTGATGATGGTCTCATCAGGCCATCCACATTTGCTGTTTACAACTTTATCAAAGCCTCTTCCTGATGTTGGAGAATATCAGCAATTTCTTTCCTGGAGTTTTTCCAAAATGTGTTGATAGTTGTGATATTTATGAGCTAAATCACGGGATGCCTGTTGATGTTTACATTTGTGAACCCTCACCAGCAGGAGCCGCTCGCCACGGATACAGACAGAATTTCCGCACGGAGCACCTAGGAATTGTTATAAAGGTATTGTGGAGGATTTTCGCCAATCTGTTAAAGGGCCCTCTCCACTTTCAAAGAAAAAAAAAAAAACATGTGCAAGACCATGCACAAGCCCATTTCTCCTTGCGCACGCTCTGTTTAAAGGTTGCTGTTCTCATTGCTCATACAAGCTTACCATGCTCAAATGTCTGCCCTAACCCCTAAATCCCTCAATCACTATAGCAGGGACTTTATAGTGAACTCAGTTAACTTACAGTTTGGACACATGATCACTGCTTTTTGCTCCGTTGATCATGTAACTCCTCCTCCACCGCATGGAGCATGCAGGATCTTTATTAGTTGCCGCTGTCAGGTAGCAATAGCCTATGGCAACAGTGGGCAGCTCTGACGGCAAATCCGATAATGCTTTGCGAAGAAAGCTCTGCGCAAAGCATTCCGGGATATATTGTCTTACGACCCTCAGCCATTGTCAAAGGGGTGAGAGAGGTGAGCTTCAATGACTGTCTGAATCCGTAGCTCACCACAGATATACGCCTGAAAGTGCGCATGCACGGATAAAAATAGCTAACTGGGGATGAGCATGTAGGACAGCCTTATGTAAACATATTACCAGAATGAATGACAATTAGGATGACCACTTATTTAGATGATCTACCCGAAAATATAAGATTGTCCTCTATACCTTTAATACATAGATGTCTGTTTTTGTACATTTTAAATTTTAAATCAGTCTACATTTTAAATCCTACCCTGCAATAATACATATTATAATAATATTATAATCTTTAAACACTGTTTTTATCAGACTAAATCCAAATGTTTTTTCCACAAACTGTGGAGGAGAGAATCAAAACAAACCATGGCTCTCTCAGGTATGTGTGGGGGCGGGTTTGTGTTTGGAAGGGACAGCCAGGGGTTACAGTACTGGGAGGGAGGGATTGGTGGCTCCTACAGTTTGTAAAGCCTGAGCTTAATGACTGTCAGTACTACATGTACACACGTCATTGTCCAAGGGTTGGGATGCTATATGTTTTGTTTTAAGTACCTTTTAAAGGTGCAAAGCCAGGCCATTTTTATGCATAACTTATTTCTCAAACTTCATGTATGCTTTCTGATTTAAGTAGGAGTTTTTATTTTATTCATTTTCTTTACAGCAGCAGCAGTGTACTCCAGGGCTGTTGATCTGTTCCTATTCTGTCATTTTTTTTTTCCAAAAATGTGTCCAGTTTGCCGTACTACTGTGAATAGCAAAGCAGTATAATCAAACAGACTTCCAGGAAATTGAAAGAGGAGCAACATTTTAAATGTATTATTTGAAATCATATTTTATAGTAATGATAAACAAAGTATTACGATAAGGATTAAAAGAAAACCATGATATGGTTTTCTTGACCTCTACCCACATTGTCACAATTTACAGGTATGCACTACTTTGTGTTTGCGTTTCACAAGTTACTTTTTTCCTATTTTCTTTCCTTGTCCCTTTTCTCCCCTCCTTGTATCAAATGAAAGCAAAGCTTGCTGAAATGTGACATGGGAAAAGTAATAAATAAAGAGAACTGAAGGCTCATGTTTTCATTGAAGAATCCTCCTACTGAGATTGGTGTTTAGTCAAAGCTGTCTGAGTCGAAGACAATGTGAAAAAATGGAGTGAAGTTCAAAGAGCATGAAAAACAAAACAGTTATCAGAGAAGAAGAAAAAACCTTGATTGTTTCCAGTCTGAGGACTGAGCCATGTTAACATTAGGTTTGAGCGGGTGACCATGATACCACTGGATCAAATTCAAAAAGAACAAATCTGTTATTAATACATTCTATTGAAGGTCCTTTATCATGCTTTTATAAGCCTTTCAAACTCTAGACATTTAAAATGAAGCAATATTGCATTTCGCACTATGGAGTATTTCATTGTGATGAAATATTAGATTTTTTTTTTCTTCTAACCCAAAAGAAAGACATGCCTCTCTTCATTATGAGTTGCCCTCGGAGCAGCAGGGGCAAAGACAGTTGGGCATATTCAATATTGCTCAGAGATCGTACCTGGACCTCAAGTACCACTGAGAATATTTTAGATGTCTCTCTGTTGCAACACACCTAATTGCATTGCCTCCTCAGAAGCCATAAAGTGCTGTAGTATTTTAGTCAGTTGTGTGGCAGCAAGGAGACAGCTAAAACACACAGGGCAGGGCTACTGAAAGGCCAGCACTGGTCTAAACCATGTGGTTTGCAAAGACAGAGAGCGGCTGCTATGTGTTTAACCTTTCCTTTTTTTTTTTTTTCCCTTTTGGCTATTTTGTTGAAGAACAAAATGTTGGATGTTTGGCTCTTTGCTTCATTCCTTACAAAAGAACCCTGCTAAGTTCTCACAAAATAACATTGTTTCCAAGTGATAAAAAATTGATTCTTTGTACTTTTTCATTTCTGAATATTAATTTCTTGAAACGTTTTTTATTCTTCATTCCTCCCTTTGTGCTCTTGCAGCTACTGTGTGTATCTGAGGGTGAAACAGGCCAGTCCTGGATGCAGACTCAAGCTTTGGAGTGCTCAACTGGTGCAAGAGAGGCTGATCTGTGCAGAGTGTCAAAGTGATGCCATGTCAAAGTCTGATCGCTGTGCAGGAGATGGCCTGAAGGATGTTAGGTAAAAATAAACTGATATATAACCAGACTGGGTTTTTTTTTTTTAGGGCTAAAACAATTAATAAGATTAATCGTGATTGATTTATTATTGAAATAATCGTCATCTTATTTACTAATCGAATAATCGTTAACTGAAGTATAGAGACTATTAAACATGCCTTTAGCCAACAGAGCAATCAACTTAGAGCAGTAATTATATTAAGATTGTAGAAAAATATATATACATTTTGCATTTAAGATAAAAAAAACAACTTTTTCCTCTATCAGTAGGCTATATCCTGAACTCCTCAAATGGTAAAGCTCTTGTTTCACCTGGTTTAATTTTTTTTAAAAATTTTTAAGGAACATCATTCTATTTGATTATTAATCGATTAATTGAAAAAAGAATGGACAGATTAATCGATTTGCAAAATAGTTTGTTGCAGCCCTACTTTTTTTGTTTTTTTTTATCACTACAGTAAAAACCTTAAGACATTGTTGAGAAATGCCTATAAGTGTTCAGTCATATCTAAACACCTGATAACATTAAACAATTTTTGACATACCCTCAACAAAATTATAAACACTTTACGTTTTGCTTCTATTTTTTATGAGATGAACTTAAATATCTTAAACTTTTTCCACAAACACAATATAACCATTTCCCTTAAATATTGTTCACAAATCAGTCTAAATATGTGGAATGGAGCACTTTTCCTCTGCTGAGTTAATCTGTCCCACCTCACAGGTGTGCCACATCAAGATGCTGATTAGATACCATGATTAGTGCACAGGTGTGAATTAGACTGCCCACAATAAAAGGCCACTCTGAAAGGTGCAGTTTTGTTTAATTGGCGGGAGGTTTGGAGACTCAGAAAACCAACCCGTATCTGGTGTGACCACAATTTGCCTCATGCAATGCAACACATCTCCTTCTCATAGAGTTGATCAGGTTATCAATTGTGGCCTGTGGGATGTTGGTCCAACCTCTTCAATGGCTGTGTGACCATGCTGTATATTGGCAGGAACTGTTACACGCTGTCGTATATGCTGATCCAGAGCATCCCAAACATACTCAGTGGGTGACATGTCCGGTCAGTATGAACTGGGACGTTTTCAGCTTCCAAGAATTGTGAACAGATCCTTGCAAAATGGGGCCGTGCATTATCCTGCTGCAACAGCGGGAGTGGCGGCCTAGTGGTTAGGGCATAGGGCTTGGAGTTAATATTATTAATGAACACCAATGAACTTATTTTACCAAATTCCCTGAAATGTATAGATTTTTTTTATACTAACAAGAAAATAATTAGAGGTATCCCATTCATCTTTAGAAATGGAATGGATTTGTTTAAGATGTATCCCTTATGTAGCAGGGTGTCTGTTTACTTAAGCAGTTAATTTACCTCTGCAGAGTTTTTTCATAGTTCAGTGTTTGTATTAGGCTCCCTGCTGTCTTATCTTCAGGAAGTGAAAATTAATCCATATCATCCTTAAAAAAACATCTAGAAAAGTTTATTCGAGGGGGGATGGGGGTTTGGGAGAATTAAGCCTTCGCTTTGCCTTCCAATGATTATTAAATAGTTGATGGCTTCACATCTACACCCTCTATAATCATAATGTTATTTAAATTATTTTATTTTGCTTAGAATTGTTAATGAAACCTCTTTCTTCTTTGTGAAGGATAAATCTTCATTATTTCATATATATTTATTGCCAATCATCATATTATTCGTTATTCTCCAGAACCTTCTGGACTGCAGCCTCAGCTCCGGGATGCCATGGTTCCTGGGTTCGAGAACTGTCTTCTGAACCCTGCCGTTGTCCTCCTTACTCTGTCCTCTTTGTTTGAGTCGCTCTGGTTGCCTTCAGAGAGCCTCTTCAAACCCAGCAGAGCACTGCCAGCCAAACCAGGCCCTTCTGTCCTGAATCCCGGAAAGACAACTCATGGAAATCAGTTGCATCCTGCCACTTCTCATCTCATACTTTGTGTTATATACCTAAAAGTTAAGCTTAAAGAAGTTAATGCATTTCTTCAGTTCCAATTTATAAGCCACATTTCTGCATGTCAAAACCACTGCAAAGTCTACATCTTTTTACCTCTGAATCTTTGCTATCTACCTCCATCAATGCAAATGTCTGCTAATGGATGATGTATAAATCTAAAAAGAAATGTGCGTTTTGATTCTTATATTTTATACTTATGGTGGATTCTGTGTACTGTATATGTACTCTGTTTTGTCAAAACTACAATAAACAATGATCCAAAGAGCTCTTAAACACATGTATGCTGCAGAGACTGTAAACACTGATTAAAATATATGCATATTTTTACAATTTAAGTTCCAGTGACATTTCATAAATAATAAGATTAATATTAAGGATTGATCAATTAGGTTTCTTTGTTTATGTCACTTATAAGTCGCCACCTTCTTATTTTTATGAACTCTGCATGATGGCTTTTGTGTAAATGGGACACTCCAAGCATGATCAGGATCAGAATTTTTAATACTAAGTAAATTAAGAAAATAAACTTTTCAAAACAGAGTCGCTGTCTATTTTCTTATGATTAAAGAAAATTAATACAACCAGAAAACAGATTGAGTGACATGAATCAGAATGATGTTCATTGCCTGTAATTCAGTTTTGCATGGTGTGCATAAAAAAAACACCCCAAAATAGACACTGAGGGTCATTATCTGAAGGGTAATTCTGTTGTTTCATTTATTTGTTGTTTTTGTTTTGGGTGGGGATGGGGATGGGGTTGGAGTGCCATAAAGATCAGAGACTACAAAGAAGTAGTGTTAAGGGTGCAGATTTGCAGATATCTGGAAATTATTCTAGAAGAAAAGGACCGATTTAAGAAAT